ACATTCACTATATAAACTGAAAAATGTTTGAAGATTTTGCTTTCCTTTGAATCACTTAATTAAAATTTAGTTGTATAAGCACTGTTTCTGAGAACTGCTGTACATCTGTGTTGCATGGAGTCAACCAACTTCTGGCACCTGTGAACAGGTATTCCAGCCCAGGATAATTGGACTACATTCCACAGTTCTTCTCTATTTCTTGGTTTTGCCTCAGAAACTGCATTTTTGATGTCACCCCACAAGTTTTCTATTGGATTAAGATCCAGGGATTGGGCTGGCCACTCCATAACGTCAATCTTGTTGGTCTGGAACCAAGATGTTGCACGTTTACTCTTGTGTTTGGGGTCGTTGTCTTGTTGGAACACCCATTTCAAGGGCATTTCCTCTTCAGCATAAGGCAGCATGACCTCTTCAAGTATTCTGATATATTCAAACTGATCCATGATCTCTGGTATGCGATAAATACGCCCAACACCGTAGTATGAGAAACATCCCCCATATCATGATGCTTGCGCAACCATGCTTCACTGTCTTCACAGTGTACTGTGGCTTGAATTCAGTGTTTGGGGGTCGTCTGACAAACTGTCTCCGCCCACTACACCCAAAAAGAACAATCTTACTTTCATCAGTCCACAAAATGTTGCGCCATTTCTCTTTAGGCCAGTCAATGTGCTCTTTGGCAAATTGTAACCTCTTCAGCACATGTCTTTTTTTAAACAGTGGGACTTTGTGGGGGCTTCTTGCAGATAGCTTGGCTTCACATAGGCATCTTCTAATTGTAACAGTACTCACAGGTAACTTTAGACCTTCTTTGATCCTCCTGGAGCTGATTGTTGGCTGAGTCCTTGCCATTTTGGCTATTCTTCTATCCATTCGAATGGTAGTTTTTCGCTTTCTTCCATGTCTTTCAGGTTTTGGTTGCCCTTTTAAAGCATTTGTGATCATTTTAGCTGAGCAGCCTATCCTTTTCTGCACTTCTTCTTTATATGTTTTCCCCTCTCCAATCAACTTTTTAATCAAGGTACGTTGTTTTTCTGAACAATGTCTGGAACGACCCATTTTCCTCAGAATTTCAGAGAGAAATGCACTGTAACCAGCATGTACAATATTTGCTGCCTTCCTTCCTTAAATAAGGGCAATAATTGCCACCTGTTTTTCAAAGAATGAATGACCTCACTAATAGAACTCCACACTGCTATTATTTTGAACATGCCCCTTTCAATTAGTGATTCAATTACACAAAATCAGCAGCATGCATGTCATGACTGGTTGGTCTGTTGGATTTCTATTACTCTACTACACCTGCTAGTAAACTATTTGCCATGTAGAAATATCATTTAGATTTTATTTAACTTGGATTTTGTTAATTCGATATCTATTTTGTTCACTGTAATTATTTGTATTAATTTATTAATTATACAGCGCTGAGCAAACTGTTGGCGCTATATAAAGACTGTGTAATAATAATAATTTGACCACATAATGCTATAATTCCAATTCACAGGCAGTGGATGTTGTTTTCAATCTGTTCTTTCTTTCAAACACTGTCCATTTTCACAGTGAGCTTTGTGTCCTTTTCAGACTTGCAGAATTTTGTGAAGCTGTCCCTAAACACTAAAACATAATCGGTGCGATGGCTTGCAACTTTTCTCTTAACATGAAACACAAACTAACAGATATTTTGCACTCGTCAGAGAAAAGTTACAAATAAACTAATTGTTGCCTCTAACAAAAACAGGCAAAGAAAGTCATTTTATGGTGAATGGCAAAAAAATCCCATTTTCTCTTATGTTTATTGATAGACCCAGCGTCTTCTATTCTCGACCATAGGGACACCCCAAAGCAATGCCCAACAAGTCAGGGGTGGGAAAAAAAACAATGCCAATCATGAAAAGATATAAAACCAGGCCAGCAGGGCTCAACAAGAACAGAGGAGCCCAACCAGAACATACCCCCCCCCCCCAAGAGGAAACAGAAACCTCAAACCGCTGCCTGCAAAACTTTGTGGCCAAAATATGCATCTGAAGACACCAAGACATCCACCTTGTAATATTTAGTAAAGGTGTGCACAAGCAACCAGGTAGCTGCCTTTCAGATTTGAGACACCTGAAGGCCCAGGAAGTGCTGGGCCAACCATCCCAAAAGGAGCACCTGTGCCCTGCATTGCTCCTGGAAGGGGGGGGGGGGGGGTGTGGGGTGGAGATCTACTTACTAGTCCAGGGAAACTGTCGGTACGCTCCATAGACAGAACCACCTCTCCACCGAAGTAGGGAGCTTCTGGGCCAGGGTAACACTGTGATGCAAACATTTAGAGCCCGTTTCATATGCACCCTCACGAGACGTTTAACTCACTGGTCACCCCGGTCTGAATGGGGCTATGTTGCGGCCTACGAAGTGCATGGCTAAGGTCTGCGTGTGCTAGCTGGCCAGTCTGGGGTGACCACTAGATCTACACTATACTGCCAAAAGTATTGGGACACCGCTCCATATCATTTGATTCAGGTGTTCCAATCACCTCCATGGTCACAGGTGTATAAAATCAAGCACCTTGGCATGCAGATTGCTTCTACAAACATTTGTGAAAGAATGGGTCGCTCTGAGGAGCTCAGTGAATTCAAGTGTGGTACAGTTATAGGTTGCCACCTGTGCAATAAGTCCATCCATGAAATTTCCTTGCTACTAAATATTCCACGGTCAACTGTTAGTGGTATGATAACAAAATGGAAGCAACTGGGAACAACAGCAATTCAGCCATGAAGTGGTAGGCCACGTAAAAGCCCCCGCAGAGCGGGGTCAGCACATGCTGAAGTGCACAGTGCGCAGAAGTCACCAACTGTCTGCAGAGTTAATAGCTAAAGACCTCCAAACTTCATGTGGCCTTCAGATTAGCACAACAACAGTGCTTAGAGAGCTTTATGGAGTGGATTTCCATGGCCGAGCAGCTGCATCCAAGCCTTACATCACCAAGTGCAATGCAAACTGTTGGATGCAGTGGTGTAAAGCACACCACCACTGGACTCTAGAGCAGTGGAGATGTGTTCTCTGGAGTGACGAATCACGATTGTCTGGCAATCCAATGGATGTTTGGGTTTGGCGATTGCCAGGAAAACCGTATTTGCCTGACTGCATTGTGTCAAGTGTAAAGTTTGGTGGAGGGGGGATTATGGTGTGGGGTTGTCTTTCAGGGGTTGAGCCTGGCCCCTTAGTTCCAGTGAAGGGAACTCTTAAGGAGTTGGCATACCAAGACATTTGGACAATTTCATGCTCCCAACTTTGTGGGAAGAGTTTGGGGATGGCCTCTTCCTGTTCCAACATGACTACGCACCAGTGCACAAAACAAGGTCCATAAAGACATGGATGAGCGAGTTTGGGATGGAGGAACTTGACTGGCCTGACCTCAACCCGAAAGAAAGGAGTGGAGACTGTGAGCCAGGTCTTCTGATCTGACATCAGTGAATGACCTCACAAATGCACTTCTGGAAGAATGGTCAAACATTCCCATAGACACATCCCTATACCTTGTGGACAGCCTTCTCAGAAGAGTTGAAGCTGTTATAGCTGCAAAGGGTAGACCAACTAAATATTGAACCTTACAGACTAAGACTGGGATGCCATTGAAGTTCATATGTATGTAAAGGCAGGCGTCCCAAACCTTTTGGCAATATAGTGTATATTATCCAACCTATCGCCCAGCTCGGCTGTTAATGGAGGATCTCCTCAGGAAAAAAATTAGCAAAAAAGGAAAAAAACGCTATGGAAACAAAGGTCCCAGCAGGGAGCTAGGTCACTACTCCTGGCACTAGGCAGAAAGAGCTGGATTTCCTATGCAGAGAGAGGGTTTATATCAGCCAGGACTGCAGATAACTAGTGCCTACTCCTGTAGGTGGCACAATAATCCTATGGCCAAGAATAGAAGACGCTGTGTCTGTCAATGAACATTAGAGAAATATTATAGTCTTCTATATTTGTTGTAGCAGTTCCTGGTTTTATTGTGACCACAGCTTTCATGTTTTGCGAACACTTACTCTACACTTAAAATGAAAGCAGCAGTGTTCTTGATTATTTTTCTCTTGTGATATTTGTAAGCGTGACATGCTGGGAATAGATGTATGCTTTGTCTACACCAGCAATTAATTGTAGTTTAGTAACAATGTAAGGAAAAGGTTTTCAATTGTAGTGAAGATCAAAGTTGCATTTACTATACAGTGTTTGATTCTCTCTTCATGCTTCTGTCCTTACGCTGTTAGTTAAAAAGGGCTGGGCGACCGCTGCTGATTGCATAACCCGGTCATTCCAGGATCAAGAATCCGCAGATTCTTGCCGCAAGAATGTGGCGGCTGCACCAACCCTGCCCTGTGAAAGTGGCCTAACTGGTGAGGCAGTGACCAGGGACACTGTGACTGGTGCGGCGGGGATTAGGGACACTGGTGACAGTATGTAATTTAAAAAAAAAAAAAAAAAATATATATATATATTTGGTATTGCAATTTTTATTCTCTAACCGGTTTTTTTCCCCTTTTGTTTTACATACGAACACCAGAGTAGTGCAGTATAGTGACACTGTACTACTCTGGTAAGATGATATTTTTTTTTTTTCCCACTGTGATTGCTTAGGACATGCATAGGACATGGAAACAAGGCACAGCGACTCAGCTATGCATGAAAATACAGGAATTGGGGTGCAGGAAAATGGACTGGACTGGACAAAGTCAAAATTTGAAATATTTGGCTGTAGCAAAAGGTGGTTTGTTCATGAAGGGCTAGAGAGCAGTGCAATGAGTGTCTGCAGGCAACAGTGAAGCATGGTGGACATTCTGTGGAAGTCTGGGGCTGCATTTTTGCAAATGGAGTTGGAGATTTGGTCAGGATTAGAGATGAGCGAAGTATTCAAAAATTCGATTCGGCTGATTCGGCGAATTCGAGGAATAAATTCGATTCGATGCGAATATATTCGCTGCGAATTTAACTTATAAAAAGGGTTTCTAGGCTTCAGAGAGCCTTTATAATAGTGCAGAACACTGTACCTTTAATTTAAATGCCCTTGGAGTCTGCTGGGGAAGAGAAATAATACTGTCAGTCAGTATGACATGCAGATGAGTGCCGTCGATCTTAGAATCACCGCACACTTCACTCATTTGGGCAGTCACGGGGCCAAAACCAGAGTGTGGAGCCACAGTGTGGCGGTGGAGGCAGCAGCAATGGGAGGCCATACAGCACCCTATGACAAAAATGGAACCCACCAGCAGTGTGAGGAGACCTGAAAGTGGCACATGGCAGAGTGTGGTGATGGAGACAGCAGCAATGGGAGGCCGTACAGGGACCCATGAGACACTTTGGACCTGGCAGCAGCATGAGGAGGCGGTACAGGGGCCCATGGCAGATTACGGGCCTGGCAGCAGCAATGGGAGGCCCGTAATCTGCCAGCACCCTATGACAAAATGGAACCCACCAGCAGTGTGAGGAGACCTGAAAGTGGCACATGGCAGAGTGTGGCGATGGAGACAGCAGCAATGGGAGGCCGTACAGGGACCCATGAGACACTCTGGACCTGGCAGCAGCATGAGGAGGCGGTACGGGGGCCCATGGCAGATTACGGGCCTGGCAGCAGCAATGGGAGGCCCGTAATCTGCCAGCACCCTATGACAAAATGGAACCCACCAGCAGTGTGAGGAGACCTGAAAGTGGCACATGGCAGAGTGTGGCGATGGAGACAGCAGCAATGGGAGGCCGTACAGGGACCCATGAGACACTCTGGACCTGGCAGCAGCATGAGGAGGCGGTACGGGGGCCCATGGCAGATTACGGGCCTGGCAGCAGCAATGGGAGGCCCGTAATCTGCCAGCACCCTATGACAAAATGGAACCCACCAACAGTGTAAGGAGACCTGAAAGTGGCACATGGCAGAGTGTGGTGATGAAGTCAGCAGCAATGGGAGGCCGTACAGGGACCCATGACACACTCTGGACCTGGCAGCAGCAAGAGGAGGCGGTACAGGGGCCCATGGCAGAGATAGTGGCGAAGCGTAAGCAGCTTAAATTGAAGGCCATACAGAGGCCTATGTTAAAAATAATAACATGTTTGGGGCATGATTCATGGCGGATTTAGTCAGTTGTGTCAGGAACTGGTGGTTTGAAATCCAGACTAATCCACGCCTGATTCATTTTCACAAACGTGAGTCTCTCCACACTTTGGGTCGACAGTCGTGTCCTCCGCGGAGTTACAATACCTCCTGCCGCACTAAACACGCGCTCCGATGCCACGCTACTGGCCGGGCATGACAGCCTTTCAAGGGCAAATTCAGCTAGTTGGGGCCAAAGGTCAAGTTTCGTTGCCCAGTAGTCAAGGGGATTGTCTACCTCGGTTGGCAGGGTGCTGTCCAAGTAGGCCCGAGCCTGTTGTTTGAGGTCCTGCTCCAGGTCCACCTGATGCTGCTGCTGCTGCTGCGGCTGGTTAGTAGTTTCCTCACTGCGCTGGTGAAGAAAGCTACTCATCATCGACTGCAGACTGAGGCAGCTGCTGCTGGTGGAGCTGCCACTGCTCCTACCACCCCACCCCTCCCCTGCTGCCATGGCAGCGGAACGCGTGTGCACAGGGCCCACAGTGTCTGAGGATGGACGTTGGCGCAGAAAGGCAGAGACCAACTGACTACATAGGTGGTTTTTCTAGTACGTTATTTTGGCCTCCCTCTCAGCAGGTGTGAAAAAGGCCACCATTTTTGAACGGTAGCGAGGGTCCAACAAGGTGGACAGCCAAAAGTCATCCCTCTGTCTGATGATTATTATTCGGCTGTCGCTACGCAAGCAACCGAGCATGCTATGGGCCATTTGTGCCAAGGAATGCGAGGGACTCCCTGCCTCCATCTCCACAGCATACTGCCACGGTGCGTCTGGGTCCTCTGTCTCCTCCTCCTCTACCAGATGCTCCTGCTCCTCCACTCCTGTCCGCTGAGTGGAAAAACCACCCATTTCACTCAATAATTCCTGAGCACCAATGTCCTCCTCTACCTCCTCCTCTTCTTCCTGTCCTGCCCCCACAAGGGTCATGTGGCGTTGAGATCTGTGCGCCACGTCTACCGCACCCTGACCAGCCATTGTTAACAGCATTTGTTCCAGGACGTGCAACAGAGGAATGACGTCGTTCATCCCATAGTCCTGCCGACTCACGAATAGCGTGGCCTCCTCAAAGGGCCTGAGCAAGCGGCAGGTGTCACGCATGAGCTGCCAATGGCTGACATCTAAGTTACACAGGGGAGTACCTTTATCCGCTTGTAACATCAGGAAATCGGTGATGGCCTTTCGCTGTTCGTAAAGGCGGTTAACATATGTAGGGTTGAATTCCACCTTGTTGCAACGTCACAGCATGAGGAGTCGGTACGGGGGCCCATGGCAGATTACGGGCCTGGCAGCAGCAATGGGAGGCCTGTAATCTGCCAGCACCCTATGACAAAATGGAACACACCAGCAGGGTGAGGAGACCTGAAAGTGGCACATGGCAGAGTGTGGCGATGGAGACAGCAACAATGGGAGGCCGTACAGGGACCCACGAGAGACTCTGGACCTGGCAGCAGCATGAGAAGGCGGTACAGGGGCCCATGGCAGATTACGGGCCTGGCAGCAGCAATGGGAGGCCCGTAATCTGCCAGCACCCTATGACAAAATGGACAGCACCAGCAGTGTGAGGGGACCTGAAAGTGGCACATGGCAGAGTGTGGCGATGGAGACAGCAGCAATGGGAGGCCGTACAGGGACCCATGAGACACTGTGGACCTGGCAGCAGCATGAGGAGGCGGTTTGGGGTACAGGGGCCCATGGCAGATTACAGGAGATTACAGGCCTGGCAGCAGCAATGGGAGGCCCGTAATCTGCCAGCACCCTATGACAAAATTGGAACACACCAGCATTGGTGAGGAGAACTGAAAGTGGCACATGGCAGAGTTGTGGCGATGGAGTTCAGCAGCAATGGGAGGCCGTACAGGACCCATGAGGGGGGGGGGGACTCTCTGGACCTGGCAGCAGCATGAGGAGGCGGTACAGGGGCCCATGGCAGATTACAGGCCTGGCAGCAGCAATGGGATGCCCGTAATCTGCCAGCACCCTATGACAAAAATGGAACACACCAGCATGTGAGGAGACCTAAAAAGTGGAAACACATTGGCAGAGTTGTGGCGATGGAGACCGCAGCAATGGGAGGACGTACAGGGAACCCATGAGAGACTCTGGACCTGGCAGCAGCCTGAGGAGAGTGGTACGGGGGCCCATGGCAGATTACGGGCCTGGCTAGCAGCAATGGGAGGCCCTCGTAATCTTGCCACACCCTAATGACAAAATGGAACACACCAGCAGTGAGAGGAGAGCTGAAAGTGGCACCATGGCAGAGTGGTGGCGATGGAGACAGCAGCAATGGGAGGCCGTACAGGTACCCAACTGAGACACTGTGGACCCTGGCAGCAGCACTGATGAGGAGGCGTACAGGGCCCATGGCAGAGTACAAGGCCTGGCAAGCAGCAATGGGAGGGCCCGTAATCTGCCAGCACCCTATGACAAAATGGAACCACACCAGCAGAGTGAGGAGAACCTGAAAGTGGCAACATGGCAGAGTGTGGCGAAGGAGACAGCAGCAATGGGGGCCGTAACAGGGACCCATGAGAGATCGGGGGCCCGGCAGCAGCATGAGGAGGCGGGACGGGGGCCCATGGCAGATTAGGGCCCGGCAGCCAATGGGAGGCCCGAAAAATGCCAGCACCCTATGACAAAAAAGGGAACACACCACAGTGTGAGGGGACCTGAAAGTGGCACATGGCAGGTGGCGATGGAGACGCAGCAAGGGGGGGCCCTCAGGGACCCCTTTGACACCTGTATGGCAGCAGCATGAGGAGGCGGGACAGGGGCCCATGGCAAAATTTAAGGCCTGGCAGCAAAGGGGGGCCGTAATCTGCCGCATCCTATGACCA